ATAAAATCCACATGGATTTGATTAAACTTTTGAGGACTTATCAGATGATGAATAAAGATGGAATAGGTGCTACGTGACCTCCTCAAAACAGATCTCTGTTGAAAAAGCCTGATTCTAACTAAATAAATCTCAGCAAGCTTCTCCGCTGCTCCAACAATTACTGTGTCGGCAGAGTTTGAACCAGACAGAGTAGCAGATATTAAAAAGATATTCAGAAGATGTCACCAGCGTCACCTTTTCACTGCCGAGTCATCAGAGACGTCCATCGTCCGTGCGTGTTGGATTCAGCTGCATTAAGAGTCTGCTGGTGTTGGATAAATGTCTCCCTGTAAAGATGCGTAGAGCCTCGGAGGAGCTGCAGATTAACCCACGATTCTCTGGAGGTTCATTAGACCCTAATTTCTGTCTTCAAGCTTTAAACGTGTTGATTAAGCTAAAGCCACTTTACGTAATTATTTAGTAAATTGAGTAATCAGGGGGTCCTTAAGTTTTCATTAGATGGAGTATTTGTGATAATGCAGCTTCTGATCAGATTCTCTGCAGCCCGCCTGTGGGGGGGGGTTGTGTGCTTCTGCCACCAACAGAATTATAAAGCCTTTCAGTGGGTTTTTTCATCACTGTGCACTTTGCACACCTGATCTCAGACACATGCACGTAAAACACAGACACGTGGAATGATGGTGTGTGATCACTTTGAAGCATTATGTCTCATGACTGATTCCTTGTGCTTCATTTGACTCCTTCAGGAGGGACGAGTCAATATTTACATTTTGCTACATTTTACCCACCTTAAAGTGAGAAACAACAGCATAACCTCATAGGTCTCGTGGATCTCAGGTTCACAACTTTGAATCTAGAGCTCAGCCGACACAGACCTGTCTTCATGCTTTGGGGAAGTTAGTAGAGGAAGTGAGACGCTGGTGGTCTTATTAAAACTAGATGCACTTTACCAATCGGATTCAAAAACAGCAAAAGAAATAACCGATTGCATTGTATCATGTAACCCATTTTCTTTTGATATTTTCTTTAATTCCAAAACAAATCTCATCATTAGTAGTTTAAACAATGTATTAAAATCTGCTTTATGAAGTCAAACAATGTATAATTCATCTCTGATATGAATTTCATTACACTTTGAAAACATCTCATTACAGCACTGTGTGCTCACCGGCCGTTAGCTGCTAGCTGCTAACTTCTCTATTTGACTCCTAATGCATCATCTACTAAATGAACATCATGCTGTATTGAAGAGGACTTGGAACTGGAGACTGAAACCATGAAACATTTAAAATATTCATTCCAGGGAATTTGCTGAACAAAGTGCTGCTGTCACAGAACAAATAAATATGAGATGAATAAACGGGTCGGGAGGAGCATCAGACATGAAGACGATATGAATCTGATCAAAGCTCTTTGCCTTTTCATATCCTCCTGCCGTCCGTCACAGAACATCTGCACGCCGCCCGGCAATAAAAAGGATGAAAAACCAAATGAAGCTCTAGTGTCTAGTCGGTATACGACAATACTCCTTCTCCGTGTCTCCTCGCGTCCTCTCTCCTCATTCCTTCACAGTCCTTGTTCAGAGCTGTCAATCATCTGTTTAGAGCGGCTGGTCTCTTTTATCGAATTAGCGCAATGAATCAGTGACATCGTTGGCAAATCATCTTGCTGCTCTGTCTTATTAAATTGGGTCGTCTCTCTCCCTTCGAACACAGCGGGGGGGGGGGGGGGGGGGGGCACTGAAGATCTCCACACATACTTCTAGTAACTTTAGGACACATATTTAGTATTTAGCAGATTTAACAGATTTATTTCATGAAATACTGAAACATTGACGTGTGAGTTTTCTTTGATCTGTCGGCAGGAACATTTAGTTGGTGAAGTTATGGAAGAATTCATTTTATTATTATTGTACGTCTCTCATTTTCATTTTTACACTAAAATATGTTTATTGTATTTGTTTATTTTGATTCTCTCGTCTATTTGTTTAAGATCATGATTTTTTGTGGCAGTACTTGTGTTTTGATGCTTCTTTGTACGGAAGGGAAACCGGATACAATGACGTGGTGACGTCTCAGATGACTCGTCCAGTAAAGGTTTAATTAGAAAGATTTATATTCGTGGTGTAGAAAGTCAATTAATAGATAAGCCGAAGGACACAGTCAATTCATTATTATCAATCTTTATTTATTATCTTTTGCATTTCTTATTTAAAGCTTATCCAATGTTAAGATTAACAGCGTCATTAAAATAATAGGTTTATTAAAATAAGTAAGTAAAGATGTCGTCTCCGGTTCTGGGATTTTGCGATGGACATTTTATAGTGAATTATGAATCTAAATATATCCAACGGAATAGTCGCTCAATAAATACATATTGCTATACATGCATTTAATGCAAAATACAAATATGATTTTGACCGATGAAACTGATCAAAAAGAGTCAAAACGTCGTCACTGAGTTCACTCTAATAAAGGAAACGACGGTCAGCTTTTTGGATGATAAAACCGCGTGGTTCCAAAACACTGGGCTGGGACCCCTGGTGGGTCGCTGGTCATTTAATAGGGTCGCAGAATAAATAAATTCACTCAATCTCTTCAATGTTAATGTTAGTATTTAACATTTGTACATTGAGGGAATACATTGAGGGAACCAGAATGTTCGTTGTTTGCATTCATCACTTCATCACACATCAACTTTTCTCTCTTTTTCATGGCTGGTTTACTTATTTACTCATCATGTGAAGTGGAAAATGGCTCATGCACTAATTCACACTCCTCATGGTTATAAATAAGTTGGGAAATTAATCGCAAGGATTTTGTCATTTATAAAAAGTAGGTCCCCGGAAAAAAAACTTGGGAAACACTGATCCAACGAAATGGGAAACTAGGCTGCTTTAAGTTTCATAGAATCCATTATGTAAAACAGCAGAGTGAAACCAGGGGAAGCCACTCACATTAATCAGCACGACTATGCGTGCCAGAGAGCGTAATTACCTCTGCTCAGCAGAAGTGTACTTAACACATTTCAATGACATTTCCCCGGAGATGAGGCGGCGATGGGGAGGAACACTGGATGGTTTTGGGTGTAAATGGTGCCACCGTGGGGCCATTTCAACACGTTTTACATTTAGGATTCTGCAAGGAGTAAAAACCAAAAACCTCTCTTTGATGTTCTCATCACACCTTCATCCAAAGGTCCTCAAATTTACAGCATATTTGTTTACCTTTTCTGGAATTGTGAGGTTTCATCACTTGTAAATTACGTGACTCTTTTTGATAAGATGCAGTCGACACAAAGTACAACCTTTAAAATAACAAATAAAAACAAACCAGAACATTTAATGTGAAGTGTAATTTACCCAAGGGCCAGTTTCAGAGTCATTCTTTGTTCTGACCTGCATTCCTCTTATCAAAACGTCCTGTGATCCCAAAGTCCCACGTTCTAAAGGTCCCACGTTCTAAAGGCCCCATGTTCTACAGGCCCCACTTTCCCAAGTTCTAAAGGTCCCATGTTCTACAGGCCCCATGTTCTAAAGGCCCCATGTTCCACAGGTCCCACGTTCTACAGGTCCCACTTTCCCAAGTTCTAAAGGTCCCATGTTCTACAGGTCCCACGTTCTAAAGGCCCCATGTTCTAAAGGCCCCATGTTCCACAGGTCCCACGTTCTACAGATCCCACTTTCCCAAGTTCTAAAGGTCCCATGTTCTACAGGTCCCACGTTCTACAGGTCCCACGTTCTAAAGGTCCCACGTTCTAAAGGTCCCACGTTCCCAAGTTCTAAAGGCCCCATGTTCTAAAGGTCCCACAATTTGTGATGTTGGGACGTACCAACAACCTTCCAATGGTCATATATTTCGGGTTGTGCTTCTGTGTAAACTATAAAGCAGCAGAGAAACACAGATCTGGACATTGTGTCGCTGTGGAAAGAGGGAACGGGAAGCAGAGCAAGACAGAAATAATTGAACACAACTCGTCAGAAACTCAGACAGTGCAACTAAATATGCAAACGCGTGTGTGCTTTGGTAAGGAACTAAAATGTAAATAAACGCCTTAGTAAGCTTGAATCTTTGACTCTTTGGTAACACCGGTTTGTGTCTCCTTGTTAGTCATGAATTGTACAACATGGCACCGTGTGCACCCGCCCGAGGAATCTGTACTTCTTCCGACCCGCAGGCGCCATCAGGTAATCACCAATAGAGGCAAAACAAATGCAATCATCTATGCCCCCCCCCCCCCATCTTACCCACTGTTGAGGATGGGTGCAGAAATATACCGATGAGGGCTCCGCTTCAGGAACACAGCAGGACGTCAAGTGTTTACATTTAAAAAGGTCATCAAGTGTAAAACGCCATCATTACCTTTAAAGGCTTTGCACTCATCTCAGCGAAGAGACAAAACATGTCGACTCGACAGCAAATAAAGCGTCGGTGCGCTCAAAGGGTATTTTCAGGTTCATACTTGTATTTGGGGTTTCTACTAGAACACGTTTACATGCTTATTTTTTCTCATGCTCCATCTGTCTGAATACACCTGGATCCACCACCTGGCTGATACGCTTCGTTTGAGCGCCTGTCCCTTTAAGACCGCCTCCCTAGATTGGCTCTGATTGGCCGTCCTGAGGAGGGTGGGTATTTTTCGACCAGCCTGCATGTGACCCGAGCAGGGGGGGCGTCCCCTCAACGCACGTCTAGCCGACGCTGATTTCCCTGAAGAATAGACGCAGCGGCTTTCCTCGATACGCCGCCAACGCCAACCAGGCCCACGTCTCCCGTGACCTTTGATACCGTCTCACCCGCCGCCTGCGGCCAATCACGGAGCAGCTCGGTAATTGGTGCCACTTTAACCCAGGTGGTATCAATCTCTCCTCGTTAAGAGCCAATTAGCAGTCAACAGATATGAATTACAACGTGATCCCCTCAGGAGGCGTAACGCAAACACGCATATTGTTGATAAACAAGAAAAGATTGAAGTGACAGCAGTAATTACCCAAGAAGAGATTAAACAGCAAACAACTTCTTATTGTCTTATATGAACCACAGAAACAATAATTAAACAATCTTCTGAGTAAACAAACCAACATTGACTCGAGGAAATCACACATGAGGAGCAGAGGAAACGAGCTCCACCACCAGTTTACATTCAAATCACATGCCAACATTCTCTTAATATTTACCTGATTTTGTCCTCATCAGTTTATTCTTTTTTTAACATACATGCACACTTGTGTGTCCGTCGCCCTAAAAACACGCTTTTAAAAGTGAAGCCAATGCTTCATGTGTCAAAGCTGCATTTTCTCTAATGTCCACCAGGGGGCGACTCCTCTGGTTGTGTCACTCATGGCTGCAATAAAACAAGATGGTAACAAACAAATAAAACACGGTAAAAAGTTAAAGCTGTAAATGGACGGATGGCATTTTGTGTTACAAATATCATGCAGATATTATGATGATTATGTTGATGATTTTGACCAAGATAAAAAACCTGAGGTCTGTGACTCCACTTTACACGAGGTCGTCCCAGGAGGGACGTAGCTGACAGATTAGCATTAGCTCTGTGGTGCTAAGGCTGTTAGCCGGCGGTCAGTCGGTACACGGCTCAGCGGTCTTAATGCTACACAAGTTCACCAACTATCTTCTAAATGTGAGTCTTCACGATGATTACTGCGCCTCAGCTTCAAGTGTCGCGCCGTTCACTGTGAAACCCGTAAAATCCCTCCTGGTATCTTCAGAGTACCGCTTTCCCGATGTCACCGAACCCGAGGCCGCATTTGGAATCGTCTCGGTGACAGCTGAGCGTTCTGGATCACTTCTGCAGCACCGTGATGTCGGCCACGCCGTGGACCTGCGTCAGCTGCCTGCAGTCCAGCGAGGCCATGAGCTTCCTGGTGCCGGGCAGGGACGGGACGATCTGCTCGGTCAGGGACACGGATGCATGACTGCCGATGTCTCTGAGGGTCGGACAGGAAACGGCGGTGTGAATGGCGGGCGCGAGCGGAGGGAAACAGATCAACAGAGTGCGTTTTCCCCTCCTCGCCTCACCCGTAGCGGATCTTTCGAGCCGGGACGAGGCCCAGTCCTTCCACGTGGAATATCACCGCTTTCAGCACTTGTGGGAGCGGGTTGGTGAATGAAATCGTCACCGCCATCTTTTCTCCCACCGTCGCCGCCCCGACGGGCTGAAAACAAATCAACAAATAGGATCAGAATTTTTTTATCCGCATCGTCTTTTCACGTTGCGAAGTTGTCGGGCTCACCGTGATGACGAGGTCGGGGGTGCGGAGGCGGAAACTGAACTGCGTGGCGAGGACCTGCTGCGTTGGTTTGACCCGGCCCGACAGCGTCAGCATCAGCGCCGCCTGGTCCACCAGCTGGTCCCTGTAGAGCTGGTAGTCCAGACTCCACTCCAGACTCTTCACTGCACAGCAGGGAGCCAACGTGTCTTTACCTCCTTCTCTTTGGGCTTTATTACAAGTAGCCGTTTGACGTCTAGACGCCACCACCACTCGTTTTGGTCAGTTAGCTTAGCTTAGCTTAGCCAGAATGCTGCAATACTTAAAAACCAAACCAGCGACCAAAGTGACCAATCGATAACTTTTTAGGCTTTTTGTTTTGCTGCCTTTTAAACATACAGAACCAAACATTTACTGCACTGTAACTTAACGCGACGTTCCTCGTTCCTCTACGAATAAGCCCCGCCCACCTTCGCTGGGCTGCAGCTCCACGTCCAGCACGTCCTTCCTGACGGTGGCCTTGAGGACGCCGGTGTAGTACATGACGGCCGCCGCGCTGTGCAGGACGAGCGTCCGCGGCTCCGAGCTGCTGTTTCTCAACGTGATGCTCAGATCTGCGTCGCCGCCCATTCTCGGCCCGTCGCCGTCCATGGTCACCTCCAAGGAGACGTCCTGCGCCAGCGGGCTGGAGAAGGCCTCAGCTTTTGAGCCGTAGCTACACGCCGTCTCCACGGCGATGCGCTCCTCCTCCAACCCTGAGGACGACCACCAGGCGATGAGTCACTTCAACGCGAGAACGGACGCCTCGGCAAAACCACGTGTTCTCTTTGGTACCTTCGGCGTGCTTGTAAAGGTGCGTGATGTCGTGGCGCTCGTCGCTGCCGACGGCCTTGGTGCTGATGAAGTGGCCCACCAGGTTCTTCTCACTGTAGATCTGACCGAAGGTCCCATTCGCCTTCCTCTGCCAGTAGATCTTATCGCTGTTCACCTGAGAGCGCACAGATGGAGAGAGAGTTGGCGGGTGGGAGGAGCCACACAACCTTTGATGTCTGCCACATGTGATCAGCACGCAGCACACGCACGACGCGTCAACGGGAGACGACCGGAAGGCCTCCTCTTCACCCCGTAGGTCAAAGGGCGTCTGACTGATGGATAACGTGAGCAACGACAGCAACAATCCGTAAATGTGTTATGAAGAAATGAAGGTTGAATATTCTGAAAACGTTACACTTTATTTCATTGTTCATTTCTCACTAAGAAGGAAAATCCTTTCAGTGTGATTTTTGTTCTCAAGAGTTTGACAGCGTTTACATGTCGGACTTTAACTGTTGTTCTTCTTCACCCGCCAGTCGAAACAGATCTGACTGACGAGTGAAGGATGACAGCAGAGTGTGTGTCTGTGAGTGTGTGTGTGTCTGCGTGTGTGTGTGTGTGTGTGTGTCTGCGTGTGTCTGTGTGTGTGTCTGCGTGTGTCTGCGTGTGTCTGCGTGTGTGTGTGTGTGTGTCTGTGTCTGTGTGTTTGTGTGTGTGTCTGCGTGTGTCTGTGTGTGTGTGTGTGTGTGTGTGTCTGTGTGTGTGTCTGCGTGTGTGTCTGTGTGTGTCTGTGTGTGTTTGTGTCTGTGTGTGTGTGTGTCTGTGTGTGTGTGTGTGTCTGTGTGTTTGTGTCTGTGTGTGTGTCTGTGTGTGTCTGCGTGTGTCAGTGTGTGTGTCTGCGTGTGTCTGTGTGTGTGTCTGTG